AGGGAAGGGAAGGGAAGGGAAGGGAAGAGAAGAGAGAAAAAAATCCCAACAGAATGGCAATTCAAAAAATAACTATAAATGCCCCAAAATCAAATGACAACATGTTCACACTTCCTGGTGAGCAAATAAATGTAACATAAAAAGCCTCTGATATTCCTCCCACTCCACCTAATGCAACGTAAAGCTGGTGGTCTGCAGAGACAGACATGCTCACACTGTGCGTTCTGGCCAACTTTCACGGCAAACAACTTGGAAACACGACTCAAAAAGCTTACAAATGCGTATTCTTTTTAGACGCTCCCTGAATATATAACGGAGGATTCCCCTGACAACAACACAAGCATGTGCAGAAGAATGGCTGCAGGGTGTAACTGGCAATGGTGATGTTCTGCTGTCGGGACAGCAGAGGACGACACGGTGCCTAGACGTCCAGAAGATGTTCTTAAAAAGACAGTCTGGGTCAGGCATGGTGGCTCATGCCTGTAATTCCAGTACACTGGGCAGCTGAGACGGGAGAACTGCTTAAGGCCAGGAGTTCGAGGCTGCAGTGAACATGAACACACTACTGCACTCTAGCCTGGGTGACAGAGCAAGACCGCATCTCAAAAAAATAAACAAAAATTTGAAAAGGAAAAGACAATCTGGGCACCACCCCCGATCTATGGAACAATAATGAAAGGGGTGGAACCAGGACCTATATATGCTGACTTTCCTCCACCTCACCACACTACCAAGCACTTTTGCAGTGAACCCTCAATCAAGACCCACGGATGTGGAGCACCCATAACCACTGACTGTGAAAAATGTTTACACCATATTAAAGGCAAAAACAGGTTTTGTTTTCTTTTGTTTTGGGGGGTTGGGGTCTCACTCTGTCACCCAGGCTGGAGTGTAGTGGCACACTCATGGCCACCACCGCCTCGACCTGCTGGGCTCAGGCGATCCTTCTGCCTCAGCCTGCCAAGTAGCTGGAACTACAGGTGCATGCCACCACACCAGACTAATGTTTTGATTTATTGTAGAGACAAGTTCTCGTCAAGTTGCCCAGGCTGGTCTCAAACCCCCGGTCTCAGGCAATCCTCTCTCCTCGGCCTCCCAAAGTGCTGGAATTATAGGATTAAGTCACCACACCAAGCCAAAAAACAAGTTTTTTAAATGACATTCAGTGGTATATATACATAGAAAAGTCTGGAAGGACATACAAAACTACTAAGAATGACTCCTTCAGTTCTGGAATCAGAGGTGATGTACACTTTCACCATGCATGTATATAGTGCCTACACTGAGCAGGCATTATTTACACCATAACAAAAAATGATAAAGGCAAGACTTTGTCTCAGTGCTGTGTAAGATGGAAACAGAGGGGAGTCGGGGGTCAGGAAGCTCAAGGAGAACACAAAGAAGTGGATGTTCTGGAAAGAGCACTTCAAATGAGTGAGTGCGGAATCCAGCCAGGGTTGGAAGAAAGAGATAAAACAGAAGTAAGTAATGAAGTAGGAAAAACACAGAGGTATCAAGGGGGGTCTCACTGAGACGCCCAGAGTGATAGAGTCTCTGGACAGGACAGGGCAGGGCAGGGCCTGCCGGAAGGACTGTGAAGGAAGAACCAAACAGGAAAGGAGCCCACAGCAGAGAAGGGAACATGTGAGCAAGACAGACAGCAGTCAACACAGGTACTAGAGCTTGGCAAAGCAGAGAAGATGCCAACCTGCTGCCAGCAGAAGGATCCTAGGAAGGTTAAAGAATTAGGGCCAGCTCTGGAGGGAGGGGGCAGGGCTGGCATAGACGGTCCAAGCAACCAGGTACCCCGTGGCCAGGGGAGGGGTTGCACTCTGCAGGTGGCCACTCAAAGAGCCCACCTTCCACAGAAGTCCACCACTCCAAGGGTTTCCTCTCAGCTTTCTAGTCTCACTGTTTCATTAAACATTCTATTAGGAAAAGTTTCAAAAATAGAAGCAAAAGTAAAAAGGAAGACCCATGTGCCCACACCTAATTTCAAAAATTACCATCACTTTCCATTCTCATCCGGGCCACCTCCTATAGCCTTTGGGGTTACAAAGGATAAGCTGGAATATTTATGGGTGAAATCATATCATTTTACTCATAAACAATGGTGTGCATTGCTAGTAAGTCACACTACCTATCACCGTGAAACGCAATCATGGCAGCCAACACAAGCCGCACTTCCTCAGTGCCATGCAACACACATGCCCAAAGGCTGTGCCCACAGTGGGTTTTCCAGGACACAGACCAGCAGCTGCGCTTGGCTGCCTCTCCTTTTCCCTGCGCCGTGCCGTTCATGTTGAAGAAGCTGGGTGATTTATGCCGTAGAGTCACCCCTTTCTGACCTGATTCAAAGCCTTCCAGGACGCCATCCTCTGCCACCCCGATGCCTCCACACTGGTAGCGGGGTCTCCGCCAGACGGCCTCAGCTGTGGGCCCCGCTCCGGGGCCCTGGTGCCTCCACGCCAGGGTCCCAGTGACTCCTCCCAGTTATTCTGCATTGCAGCCCAGCTATGTCCCCCAGCAGGTCCACAGCTGAGCACTTCCTGCCTAGAAACGTCCACTCTGCCCAAGCAGAGATGGCACAGTGGTAGCCAGCAGCACAGAGTCTCCCTGCTCAGAGCACATCGGCTGGCCAAGTGGTCACATGTGGTGAGCTCAGACAAGAGACAGAGTTGAAAGTCAGCCGCTAAAACCCAAGGCGCTCTGAGGAGCACAGAGGTGGTGCCAGAGGGAAGCCCTTGAAGGACACGGCTCTAAGATCCTTGGAGACACAGGAGACCAGGGTGGTTCTGAGGTCAAAACAAGAAGCCCAAATATCCACGACATGAGACAAAACATTTCAGAATACAAAGCCTCAAAATACTCATCCCCTGAGCAAGCTCTCTTAAGAAGGGGCTAAGGGTTATGCACCACTAAGACATGAGTAAACCAAAGACATGTGATGGCAAGAGGCAGAGAAAGAGACACCAACGTGTCTGAAAATACCTACAAAAATGTGCGATTCTATCCATTTGAAAACGAGTTTATAACAAATACAAAGATAACAGAAAAATTTTAAATGAGGCAATTAACTGAGAAAAACAAACAAAAATATTATTCAAGAAAGGAACTGGGCAACTCCCTCGGATTCCCTCCCACTGTTGGGAGATTTTCTGTTCTCTTAATAAACACTGCTTTCAGAAAAAGAAAGGAACCGTGATCATCGCAGACCACCAGGGTCAGCCATGAATACCCCACAGCAGGCAGACAAGCCACTGGGAGCTATAGTCTGGGTCAGTGCTCCCTCTAGGCTCCTCCCTAAGCTCCCCAGGGTGCTCACGGGAGGCAGGGTAGGCAGAGACCAGGGGAAGTCTCCCTGGCATGAGGTCCAAGTAGGGAAGCAAAGCCTAAGGCCCAGGTGAAAACCCACTATGACTGGGAAAAGAGGTGACAACACTCAAAACCCTCTGCTCCCACGGAAGGGCAGTGCACAGTTCGGGGCCAGGATCCCACATGGAGACCAGAGACCTCAATCTCTAGAGGCCGGGGCTCACCATCCTCAAGACAAGAAGGAATTTCCGTGTGACGGGCAGGAGGGGCAGACCCAGCACAGGGCTCCAGAATGACATACTGCCCCATCAACAGGCTGGTCAGCATGGAGTAGCACACAACAATAATCCACCACTGGGGGGTGGGCAAGGACATGAAGGGCCTGTCCTCCCCTTGTGGAGGCAGAAGCACAAAGGGAAGGCCAAAAGCCCAAGGTGAAGCAGGAACACTGAGGAACTACCTGTGACCACAGCACTCAGTGTGAGCACAAGAGCAGTGGTTCTCAACTGGGGGCAATTCTGCACCCCCCTCAACCTCCCTGGGACACTTGGCAACATCTG